TTTTTTTTTTTTTTTTTTTTGCCACGTCCTTTGTCCGTCTCGTTGCGTGTGTCCACCCCCACCCACAGCTGCCGCCCGCTCGTTTGCTATTTTTTTTATCAATTGATTGTCCTGCGACAGGGTGACAACAAGGTCCTCACACACACACACACATACACACATGCTTTTATTTAGCTCATATTATTATTATATGTTTATATATATTCCTTTTTTTTTTGGGTAATTTTTGTGATTGCTTGGGCGGACCTTGGCCCGCTGCCCGTTGCCCGCTGCCCGCTGCCCGCTGGACGTTGCTGACTTTTCGCTTTTGGTTTCTGTTTCAATAATAACAACAATAAAAAACATATATAGAGGAAAAAAGAATATGCTTTCGCTTCCCCTCGTTGGCCTATTGACATTCGCTTTTTTATACCCATTTTTTGTTGCTGTTGTCGTTGTTGYTGTTGTTGTTGTAGCTGTTGCTGTTGGGTATTTTATTTATTGATTGGCGATCATTGGCGTGAAATCGACGCAGGACGCAATTAGCCGCCTGTCTGACTCCATGAATTAAACATGTGTTGCTGTTGTTGTTGTTGTTGCTGTCAGTTGTTGCTGTTGGTAGTCGTTGCTGTTGTTGTAGTTTTTGGTAGTTGTTAGCTGCTGCGCGATTGGCCAGTGGACAGCCAGCGGGCAGGTAAAACAGACTTGTTACCTGCTTTCATGTTGTAGGCGTTGCCTCGCGCTAACTCGGGACTGGCAGGGAGCGAGAGAGAGAGAGAGAGAGGGAGAGTGCTTGAGTTTCTCTCTGTGTGCATTGGACAGGGGTAACCGAGTCGAGGGGGGCGTAACTATTTGACTAAGCGATTAGATTAGATGCGAGCGAGTGTGTGTGTGTGCGTGTGTGGCGAGAGATTAACGCGCGCGTCTGGCAAAAACTAGGTAAATATAAATAATATACAAAACTTATTGACAGCTCCAAAAAGTCTGCTGCAATATTAGGAGCGAGCGCAAGGGGAGGGGGCTAGGGCTGCAGCAACAGCAGACTGCGACAGCAGCTGCTGGCCAAAAAGGTGTATCGAAAGGGTGTTCAAAGTGCCAGCAACTGTCAAATGTCAGACAGACGCTGACAGTCGCCTGACAAGTGTCAACAGAAGGTAGCTCTAACTCTTGCTGTGTGAGAACGAGAGAGAGAGAGAGAGAGGGAGAGAGAGAGAGAGTGAGTGTGAGTGAGAGTGAGCTCACGTGTATTTGGCGAATATTTCATAAAGTCAGCTCATAAATTGAATTATCTGCACAAAAGGGCAAAAAGGACACGACCTAAAAAGGGTTCACCATACTCACACACACTAACACTAACAAAGGCGCAGCCAACAACAGCAATTTAAGCAGCCAGAACGAATGCGCTCAGCACCCCCTCCAATCGAACCCCACCCCCACCGCCGCCGCCTCCTCTCAGTTGACCAGCTGCGCTGACAGCCAAAAACAGTTTCGAAAATCTCTTGAATTTTTCGCACAAAAATGTCTGTGATGTCATCGCATATGTGTAATTAATTCAGCTGCGCCCCCAGTCCTCTATGCACACACTCTCACACATACACACACACAGAGAGACACACACACGCAGAGACAATAAATAAATTGAAGTGCGTCGATTTGTTAACCGCGCAGCTTAAGATTTATTTACGAGCTGCTGGCAAAAGAAACAAATAAAACTATCCTGCGGCTATTAATATGCGCCTAAGTGGGTGTGCGTGCGTGTGTGTGTGTGTGTGTGTGTGTGGGAAGTAGCACAATTAAGAATTAACATATTAATAGGACTTTTGCGCAAATTATCAGGCAGGCACAAATATGAAACTCAAGCAGGACTCAACTACAGATACACAGTCTAAGATACAGATACATCTCTCTCTCTCTCTCTCTCTCTCTCTCTCGTTCTCGCTCTCACACTTCCTATTTTTGTTATTTATAACATTTTCATGTTATTGACTGCACGCTGCGGCAACTGCCCCACCAATCCAGCCCAACCCCATAAAGCCAACCACCTCCCATATGCTGCCTCCAGCTTCTCCTTCCTCCTCCTCCTCCTCCTGCTGCTGCTGCTAACCCCGCCGTAGCTGCGGCTGCTTCTGCTGCTGCTTTTGTTGTAGGCGTGGCACAGGCAGAAAACAATACGTTGATTGTGCTAATTTATGCCCCCACCCATACACCCACACACATGCACATCCATACACACACACACACACACACATGTGGAGCAAAGGACGCGCTTTATGGCCAAAAAGGTTATGGGCCAGTCGAGGCTGGCTGCGCGTCGCCGTTTAGCTGGAAACCAGGCTGGCCATAAAAACCAGGCGAGCGCCACACGGACGACTGTTTTTAGGTGCCCACGCACACACACACACCCACATGAGCACTAACAGGCGCGGACCAAATGAAAAATGGCGACTGAAAAATAGCGGAAAATTGTTACGTGGAAGAAAAGCAAAGGGAAAAAGAAAATCGCCAACTGCAGCAGCTTTGATGTGCGCCCAGCGGAAGGTCAGCGCGAATGCTGCAGCACATGAGCTCACACACACGCACACACACACATGCAGACCCAGAGCTATATACCTATGCACAGTTCGCAGCGAAAGCTTAAAGCCCTTTAAAGTTCTATGCGCTGTAGAGCAAGGCCTGGCAGGAGTCTAATGCGATTCAGCTATATTTGATAAGGAAGTCGAAAGGAAGTGCTCAAGAGAGCTGAGGAATATCTGCAAGAGATTGCCACTCGCAGTTTCTTATGAAATGAAAATGCCGTTTTAAGTCAGTTTTAAATATTATTGTAGAAAATATGCAAGAGTTGCTGAAGTTCTCAGAGAGCTGCTCGATGACATATGAAATATGAAGTCATTGAATAAATATAAATGTATAACTAT